TTGTTTTTCAATTTTTAGCATGGTGTTGTCGATTTTTCTACGACATATGTTTTTATTATCCCTTTAGTATCTTCTGCGTCCTCTTGTTGAGTAATGTTTAAGAGAGTTCAGTGTTTGAACAACTTCGGTTCAGCATAAACATTTTATTGTAATTGAATATATTAGGATAAAATGCTTTATCGATATCCGATGGCCACAAATTTGAAATTATCAATATGAAAATAAGAAAATGTGGTATAATTGGCAATAAGACAACCCTCCACCAGAGACCGAATGACATAGAATTTAACAACTATAGGTCACCATACGACCTTCAACAATAAGCAAACCCCATACTGCATGTCAGCTATAAAGAGCCTTCATGTGACATGTATTTTTTATTAATAAAAATGTCCTTCTCTACACTTGAAATTGCAAAGCTATAAATGTCCCAAATCAATCTAGTGCTACATTGTATATCAAATCACGGTGATAAACGTCCTTTACTTTTATTTAACGAATTAGACAACAATTAGATGATTTATTTGCTTTCTGTTGAAATCACTTTATCCCAAGTCAATAAACCATATACTTACCCCATACAATGACAGTAGTTGTATAATATTTAACGTTTTTACTGTTTCGTTCAACATTATCTACTCTCTGGTAAACGTATATTCTGTGCGTTTGTAGATTTTAAGAGCGCTTTTGACCCTGTGTGGTGGGCAGGGTTGTTGCAAAAGCTGATACCAAGTAACATAATAGGCAAGATATTTAACTATATATATATCACCTTTACTTTAACATTACATCTAATGTGAGACACAGGTCATGTCATTCGTATATACGAAATGGGAGTAAGACAGTAGGTCACCCTTTCTATTTCCTCTTTTCGTTAATTATGTAGAGACATATTTTATATAGAACGATACAAAAGTGTTTAAAACAAGTAAATACATTTTGTCTTAGTTGGTGAACTTGGCATGTATATTAAAATATTTATACAAAAATATGCTGATGTTACAAAATTACTACCAGAACATTCTGGCAAGTTAAAAAAGAATTTTACAAAGGTTTGACATATACTGTTCTCAATTGAAACTGCATGTAAATGTATATACTAAGTAACACAAAATTATGGTGTTCGAAAGGGGAAATTGAAGATCTACTTTAAGGGGTGATGAGTTACCGATTAAAGAAAGAAAATACTAATAAAGTAAATTCTACATGTAATTTCTCTAATTATTTCCCGATTTATCATTTTCCTGACCTGTTGATTATTTTTATTTAATCAAAGTGCGGTTCGTTTGATCTCAGTTCTTCATTGGTAAAAATTCGATTATTCTTGCTTTCCTCTGAATTTCTTATTGTGACGTCTTGAAAAAAGGCGACCATGCTTGATGACGTGACATAGAGAGAACACATTTTTTTTGCAGATCAAAAAAAAAAAAAAAAAGGCTTAAGTTTGTTCGCAAATCGTCTAAAAATCATTAGAGAACAGATTTCACCAACTTATCTCGTTCAATACTATATTACTCCACTCTCGACAGTTAAATTTTGAATATTTAAAACGCTCGGCAAGCCTCGCGTTTAAACTTTAAAAATCTAACTGTCTTGAATGGATAAATATCGTATCACACTCGATGCAGTGGTAGAATCTTTATATATCAAAGACAAAAATGGCTGAATATTGTATTGAAAAAAAGCGTTGTATGCATTGTACTTCAAGTAACGAAATATCAAATTTCGACTTTTTTGTATTCTTTCTTCTGGCTTATCTTATGAGTCGGCAATATTGGGTCATGATAATGCTGACCTGATTTTAAAAGTCAGTCAAGTTGCTGAATAAAACATTAACAAAAACAAATTATATGGCTTATGGTGAGCGGTGCATTACATTTGCGCGCATTACTATTACATTTGCGCGCTGCTTTTAATTACACAGTAAACAGGTTAACGCAGATAAATACAGGTAGATTATACTTATTTATTTTTCTAACTATTATTTTCGAGCAGAATAAGTCCGTTTTATTGTGCACAAGCACTTAGTCCTGAAAATATAAACAGATAAAAATGTTAAAACATAGTAAATCTAAAGATTAAAAGTACTGATTTTACATGTCGTAACGTGCACAAAAATACATGGATGTGCTGAATAAAATTGCTCCCTGAAGTGAGCATGGAATGATTCCTGGCCGTTTGTAGTACGCCTTGATTCTACTGACGGTATAGTGATGCCCAAAAACGTTGAGGAAATAGGAAATCTGGTAAAATACCTTTGTAATTATTTACAGTGCAGTGCATGAAATATCCAGACTTTAAGTGTTCTGTCGATACGAATAGTAAATCCATCACACACAAATGATCCACCCCGCCCAATTAACTTACATGTATGTCTTAAGCTATTACGGGATTGCTCAGGATCACTGTATATTTTTTTTAGAATTCAATATGAAAAATAACTATACTATTAAATGAAAAGACCTCATTTTGTGTGTCGCTTCTCTTCCTGCCACAATGAATTAATCATCATGCCTCTGTATCCTATAGGTACCATGCATAGTCGCATTTGTCATCCTCGCTTATGATTATTCAGTTTTGGGTTATTTTGGGAGGGAAACGAAAATAAAGGCGTCCGGATATTGTTTCCGTCATCGGACGGACTTTTAAGTCATAGACAAGACATCCGTTTAGGACTGTTTAAAATTACAAAGAATTTTGGTAAATTTACAAACAACCCTTAATTCCTAACTTGATTACATACAATGTTTTGGGTGCCTGAGCTACATTAACCGGTATCAAACATCCCTTCTGTCCCTGGAAGCGATAAAAATACGATTTCTTGGGACCCCTTGAACTGGTATATAATCATGACCTGGGTCGTTATAATGGAATTTTAATGTTTTGGGTACCTGAGCTACAGGAACCGGTATCAAACATTCCTTCGGTCCCTGGAAGCGATAAAAATCCGATTTCTTGGGACCCCTGGAACCGGTATATAATCATGTTTTAGTAAAGAAATAATTCATGCAAGCCATAGATTTGTTGCAAATTTTCACATGGCCCGGGTCGTTATATTGGAATTTCATCCCGAGCGTAAACAAGGGATAAAATTAACAAATATTACGACCCAGGTCATGTGAAAATGAAATATGGAATGTATGAATTATTTTGATTCTAATATGGTAAAGTTTCCCACTGAAAACTCTTGACGCCATTCAGTAAAATATGGCGTTTTTGTGCACAAATCGCATTGTGACGTCGTCGATTTATAGTGGTTGTGGTTTATTGAGTATTTTATTATGGCTCCATTCATATGACGTAATAAGCCCCCCATATTAAAATTAATTTGCTTTCTTAAAAGTCAACACCTTATTAAGTCTGACGCCATTTCCTGATTTCAGTAAAATATGACGGTTTTGTGCACAAATCGCATTGTTTATTGAGTATTTCATTATAGCTCTATTCATAATTCCAATCTTACATCACATAATAATCTGATTTCATTAGTGGAATCCGTTTCGAGTGACTGCAATTGAAAAGGTTAACATATTGATTATTCTGTCTTCTGCACAACGAAACAAAAAGCATGGTGACAAAGCAACTCGCCTCCTAAAAATTGTTCGTTCATGTTACTACAAATAGTTGACCTTTGCGTTGAAATTCCTTAGATTTACATCCAATATTTTGAACTGGTGAAACATTCAAAATGTTATTTTGACGTCAGTTCATGTTTAAGATACTTTTGATATTTTTCCTGAAATTCTCCAGTCATAAAATCTTTTACAAAAATTCATCCTACAACAGTTTACATACTTTCAACCAAGCTCTAAATGCCCGCGATTTTGCGGGTATGTTCTAGTATAATTTTAATTTACAAACAGAACATGCTGAAAATTCATATTAACTACAGTCATACTTATTATTAATTATCTTTATTTTGCCTATGTTACCTGTAAAATAAATGCGCGCAAATGTAATCAAAAGCAGCGCGCAAACGTAAAAAAATGTAATCACCTAATGCGCGAAAGTGTAAAATAATTTAAGCCTGATATCATTGACGAGTTTATTTAGGCAAATTATTCGGAATTTTGTATCAGTTGATGTATAACATGCATATTTCAGGTCAATATACATTAAAATGGTAAGCTTCTCTGGAACAGATATTTTACGTTGCTAGGTTTAATTTAATATGAAATGTTCGGATTAAAACCGTCTGATAGAAATTATTTGATTAATTCGGTCGCTGTTTGTTTGTTTGCTGATATGGAAAGCTCGTCAAGAGGGGTATTCTCTACGAGTCATAACAAACGTGTACAAATGTATGTGTCTTGAGTAATATTAACTTAATCTTAAAGAGACAGATTATCATATCTACTGTAGATTTGGATTTTTTTTATTTTTCAAAATCCCTTTTGAAGTTGGTCAGTGGAAAACTATTCCTTAAGAGAATAACCTTTTTCCAGCAATGCTTTTATGTGCTAACGAACGAATAAAGTCATTAACCGAAAAATGTAAACCTTCATTTTACATTATAAAACCATCTGAGTTAAAATTAATAGCTAGAGCTATTGCCATACTCCTTGACGTATTGAGAAAACTCCCGTAAACATCTTCCTCGGTATTAAAAGTACAAATTGTGTTCCCTTTGTATTTCGCTGTATCAACTGTTGTATATTTTAATTGTATTATATTACTAGTTTATTTATGGTTTGACATGCTTGCAAATATGTCATTATGTAATTAATAATGAATAACTTGTAACCTCTTGTAGCACCTTACACGTGCCTAAGTTGTAAATGCGTTCCTGACTTGTCAGAACTTTTGTTGTGCCTTCTTCTGGTTGTATTTGTGATGTGATGTGTTGGGGTTTTTCAGTGCAACTATGTCGTTTTCGACTAACGAGTTTGAAAGTCAGTCCCTTTGTTATCTTCCGACTCTCTTTTACATGACCATTATTTCCAGTTAATTAAAATATACTTTTTAACATTTATACATATGCGATAAACTAACTGCTTCAATTCATATAAAATCATCCCTTTATTAGATATAGATAGATATTTTAGCAAATAGTTTAAAATCATAACCTTAAACTTTACAAAAAAAAAACAACCCATAATGCAATTGACTTGAATACAATCGAAACAAAAATCGTAACGGCAAATGCCTACCTTAAAAAGTAATATATTATTTCATGTACATGTTCTTCGTTATGCAATAATACATCTGGTATAACAAAAATATTACCTTGACGAGATAGGTATTCAACCACTTCCGTATTGAATACTTTACTACGTATTGAAGACATTTGACCTAGATACAGATACCAGTATAAAAAAAAACAACGATACAGGGGTTAGACGATATCTACCCATAACGAAATCAAAGTAAATGATGTTGGAAGGTAAACACTTAAAGATATTTTACTGTTTAACTGCAGCGTTATATCCGTCAAAGTAAATCTTATCTTGGTTCAATGAATGTAAACTATTTATTTGTCGTCAATAAAATTGTTGTACATGTTGTTGAAGATGATATTTATACTCCATTTTGATATTAGGTTTGCAATGCAAATGTTGTTCTCTCGCAATATTCTAAATTAGATTCAGCTTTTAATATCATGAATCAGTTTACCATGTTCAAAATGTTCTTACTTCAGAAAAATTGTATTTCGATATTTGATCACTAATTATTGCTCACTAGTTATTGATTCAAATCAAGAAGAGTCCATTTTATCAAGAATCCCATATTTCAATGTTTGTAATTCGAGGAATAATTTATAAAGACTCTGAAGTTAATCAGCGACTTAAGTAAATAAAAGGAATTTCAAAGCTAATTATTTGTAGGTAATATATCAGGCCAGCTATACAATGCGTCGAATTAAATAAACCCAATACCATAACTGGAAATAAAACGACAAAGGGACAAAAACCAATTCACAAAATACTACTCCCATACATGTAAGTCTAAATTACGAGTCCCACAAAAAAAACCGATGGAAAACTCAAAACTCTGGAATGAAAATCGGTAAAGTTTTACACAATGATCGTCAAAATGTACTTAAAACACGGTGTATGGGTTCAAGAAGGCGGATATGAGTTAACTTACAGAGAAGAATTATACCATCGTGTATTGATATCGTGTCATTGCTTATTTCATGGATATTGTTAAGAACATTTATCTTAAAAGTACTTCTAAAAACGTCCTAATGAACTGTTTCCCAATATTAGCTTAAATAATTCAAGCACATTCAATCAAGTATGGCTCACTTGTTATGGATATGTTTCATTACTTTCTGTAAATTGCTTGTAAAATTATTTAGCAATCCACACGCGCTTGGGTACAGGATTTGAATTTTGATCATGAATATTTTTATAGAGCACGTATAATACTACTGTCCTTGAATCAACTTGTTTTTGGATGAATTTATCAACTCTGATTAAATCACTAATTTTAATATCCATACTTACAAGAACGACAAGACTTGTAAACAAAAAGTCTGGTGTTATACAATGAAAATATTTATTAAACATTGAACGCGAAGTAAGACAATAAGCGCTATACTAGGACGGTGTATTGACATTGTTTCATTGCTCATTTAATTTCATGGTTATTGTTAAGAACATTAATCCTAAAAGTACTTTTATATTCTAAATCGTCTAAAGAAATCGTCTAAAGGAAATGTGTCCCAATAGTAGATTAAGTTAAATATGCACATCCAAAAAAGTTTGGCTCACTTGTGACCCTAGAGAACATCAGAAGGAAATTGCATTATTTTCTGTAAATCGCTCGTAAAATTGTCTATCAATCCACGGCGCTTGGATTATTTTTTATTTTGTCTTAAATTATATTTTCTATGTTTATACCACACATTTAACACTACTTTGATTGAATTATCTTGGTTTGGGTGAATTCATCAACTGTGATAAAATCACTAATCTTTCCTAACCATACTTAGAAACAGCATGCCAACTAACTCGAAGCCATTGTGTTTTAAACTTGCATCAACATACCCGGAATTCTATTTAAAAACGCAGGGATAAACGCAGAAGATACCAAATGGACATGTAAAACTAATATTGTTGCTATGTAGCAAAAAGAAGATGACAAGAAAAACAAAATTCACATAACACTTCATAGAAAAATAAAGACTGAGGAACACGAACCCTACTATAAGGAGTGAATGAACGATGTCAGTTATATATAAACTTATCTTAGATCTCCTATTGCTGACAGTTTTTATTGTTACAGTTTTTTTTTTTATCAAGTAAGCATATCAAAATAAAAGGCAAAATTCAGAAAACGTTTAAGGAACCATAACTCCATAATTAGGATATCAAACCAACTCTTTATAAATTCATGCGTACGTAGCGCATTTCTGGATTTACCGTCATTAAGAACGATTGAAGCCGAATATTTAAAAAGCCAAGGACGTATAAGAACTGAAACAGTTGAAGAGATATAAGACCAAAAAAAAACCTACAATAATAGCCAAATTCATCGAAGGTCAACTTCGACTGAGAGAGTTTAAACCTTAGTTTCTTAATAATTTCTAAATTTGTCAACGAACAATTTAAGAACGGTTTGTTATTAATCAGAAATGCTCAAAGCCGAATCGCTTAACGATTTCAATCTTATTCACAAACTTTTTTTCAGGGTAAACAAATGTAATCGGCAAAAGTGCTAAAATAGGTAAAGAGGTATTTTCAAGTATGCAGGTTTTTAATATATTAGACGATTACTTTCATTTTTTACCTCTATGTTCTGTTTTAAGCCATTGCGGTCATGTTGGTTGATAAAAAAAAACAATTTTTCTGCTAGATCCCTCTTAATGATCATTCAGTTAAATTTGTTGGAATTGGTTCATTGGTTTCGGAAAAAAGAGTTTTGAAACGTTTACGTAGACAAATGACAAGTGATGGTAATAGCTCACATGGCCCATGGGGACAGTTGTTGAACATGTATGAGGGAGTATTTTATATTTAGTTTTACAAGACCTAGGTTAAATTATAATAAATAAATGTACATAATATTCAATTTATACATAATAAAAAGAAGTCAGATTTTTTGTGGTTTGCTAATCCATTTTTTTGTTTTACCAGTATAATGATTCAAACATATTTTGATTTTGCGTTTCATAGATTTGGTACAATGACCCAGAAAAGAAAGTTAAAAAATAGATAGACTGCAGGAAAGGCAATTCTTGATATTTTATCTATCTTCTTGGCCCTTCCTAAATAAGGTCTTCTGCTTTCATCTTTATCTGGATCTTGGACATTTCCCTGTGACTGTAATACATAATCAAATGTGGCAAAAAATCATGTGGTAAGAAATAATCATACGTAAGTAGTGTTTAAAAAATAGATATGCACTTGTGTGTTTTATGTTTGTATAATGTCTATTGTGAAATTTTGATATTAATCCTATAATTTTGGATTACTTACCAATAGAATATTCTTATTTTGTACGACATTTATACTACTCTATTAACACAATGACTTAAACTAATGTACTAAACACATGTTTATTTTATGTTTGTGTAATATACATGATATATATGGGCAAAAAAAGAGGCAAAAGATACCAAAGGCATATTCGAACTCAAAAGTCGAAAATAAACTGGTAACGCCATGGCTAAAAATGAAACAGATAAACATAGTTGGGCAGCTTACCACAAAAACCATGCAAATGGTGATACAAGCATGAAACTTTGCAAGAACATGCCTTAAGGTGTATGTAATCATATAAGGGGGATAGCCACGAAAAAAATCCATCCGATCATGGCGGCCATCTTGGATTTTTAAAATGACGTCTACCCAGGGAAAAGACATCAAATGTATGATCCCTTTTGCCTGTATTGTATCCAAAATGTTACAAGATGGGGTAAATGAAGATAAAACATCACTTCCGGTCAAATATCAATCGATAACTCACTTCCGGTTTTATAAATATACCGAATATGACTGTTTTATAACCCGAATAATGTCAGTCGTTATATTCCGCCGATCTCCGACTAATCTCCGATTGCTACATTATCCTCGATAGGCTATAGGCCGCTAGAGGGCGCAGAATTATTCGAGTTAACTGTTATACTGAGTGTGAATTCGCATTGTTATAAGACGTGTCTCGGTATTTGTCTATCCACCGTTCATGTATTTAGTTACGAAGTTTTATTTTTAATTCTGATCGGATATTGATTTGAAGGAATTCTATCCCTATTACTAACACAATTCTATAATAATATTGTTGTTATAAAATACATCAAATAACATAATAAGAAAACTAATCTTGAATGATATCCAATTTCTAGAAATTTACCTGTGACGTTACTCTTTGTTGCGTAGATCAATTCATGTTACAGACACACACTTCGAGCACTTCTCTTATAGTTGATGTGTTTCACTCGGTTTTAGTTTGTAACCCGCGGATTACTACTGTTGCATTTATTTATTACTCAGATAATATTTGCGTTATTGTTCTATTGTTCTATTATTACTTTTGTTTATTTATATAATAGTTATTTAGTTTTTGAAATGGCGAAAAGAATTCGCTTATCAGCTTCCTCAGCAAATAGTTGGGAAACTGATTGGACAAAATGATGGATATACAATGTTGGGCAAAAATACCCCTCTTTTTCATGAATTAAATTAACTCCCTATCCCTCTAGATATTCGGCGATTAAACCACGGAGAGGGTATTGAAAGCACAATGAAAAAGGAAAATGCCAAGTACCATAATTTGTGCAGAATAAAGTTCAACAATACAAAACTGGAGAGAGCCCAGAAACGTCATATGTCACCGATGCCATCTGGAAGTTCGAGTGAATGTAAGTCTCCTAAACGTTTTAGGTGTACTTCTCCTCGTTCTAAAGACCAACAACAAGATCCAGTTGAAAATGTGCATAAATGTTTCATTTGTGATAAAGAGTCGCCTTTATCTTTCTTAAGAGAGGCAATGACAATGAAACTGAACCAACGACTAGTGGATTGTGCAACAGTTCTTCAGGATAAACAACTGTTGGCAAAGCTGAGTAGTGGTGATATTATAGCACAATAGATGAAGATTTTGGGTGATCTATTGCGGGATAGCGGTTGGATAGAGGCTTTGTCAGAAGCAGATGTTGCGTCCTCTGGGACTGCAGAATCGTTCTTGTCAAGTTCTAATACCTCCAAAAATAGACTAGCGCATCAAGTAACCGCATGTGTATAGTTTGATTTACTAATGTCTGCTTATGAAAGTTCTTATAACGAAAATCTTGATGAATCAATAGAATTTGATAATTTTATACAATGGTGTGAAGAAAGAAAAGTAGGTAGACCTCATTTTGAATTTTGGTATTCGGTTCTTGAAATTAAAAGGGCATAACACTGTGAAAAACTCAAATCGTGTTTTCTCAAACATGGCGATAGACCAGGCTCATGAAAAGAATAACGCTATTGTTAAAGGTGATGGTGGTGCTGCAGGGCTGACCGAGAATCCCGCTGCCTTGAGACGGTGGATGGTAGCCGGGCCAGAAATAAGTAGACTGATAAGCCAGTTCGAAGAATGTTCGTCGAGAAGAAAGAACGCAGATGACAGGCATCATGACAATTCTATGTCTATGCAACAAGATTTCATTGACAAAGTGAGAAGTCTTAAGACTGTCATGAATGATTATGGAAATCCATTTCTTGAGGATTCTGAAGATATCTACAAGATAGACAGTAAAGATATTGTACAAGCAGGCACAGGGAAACTGTCACAAATTAAACAAACTGGATGCAATCAGTATGCTGACTACAGAACCCGAATGCAGGCAAGCATTTATGAACCTATCAAGAAAAACAAGTTTCTGTTGTTCAGTCGCCAACCAAAGAAAAGTTCATGTGAAACAAAAAGCAAGCTTGACCTCGCCCGAGACGATTGCAGTCTGTTTTCAAGGCTTTTAATATCCTGTCAAAGCAGACAATGCGACTTGGAAGAGTTTTTCAGTCACGAAAATCAGAAATTTCCTCCTTCTTTGTCTCAAGTAGAAAATCAATATTGGCGTTAAGTCACAGCTTATGGAAGTTCGAGAAGCTAAGGGAGATTTACCAAGAGAAGAACCTCAGACAGACATGGTAGTAGTTGATGGTGCGGCAATGGTCAATTCGAGACCACCGCGTGGAACATACACTTTTGATGAATACGCAAAAGATGTGATGTTGCCGTACATTATCCACCTTACTTCAAAACATTCAAGAGTAGACGTTATCTATGATATTTACATAGAAAACAGTCTTAAAGCACAAACACGTAAAGCGAGGGGTGCTGGAACCAGGCGGAAAGTTGTCGGCACCAGTAAGACTCCGAAAGCTTGGTCAAGCTTCCTTCGAGTGGACGAAAACAAGACGGAATTGTTTCATTTCCTTGCCGACAAAGTTTGCTCGATTGATTCTGATAAAATGCTTTTTGTGACAAAATGCGAAAATGTTATGACAAATTCTTATGATGACCATAATGATCTCAGTCCTTGTAATCACGAGGAAGCAGACACAAGGATATTTGTTCATATCAAAAGTGCAGCTGAAAAGGGATGTAAGTCTTCACTTATAATCAGCTCAGACACTGATGAAGTAGTTTTGGCGGTGTCTTTTTTTAAAACACTACAAGTAGAACAACTTTGGGTTGCATTTGGAAAAGGAAAAGACCTGCGATGGATTCCGATTCACGAAATTAATCATGCTCTTGGTCCTAAATCAGAAGCTTTGCCATTTTTTTCATGCTTTCACTGGTTGTGACGCTGTCTACGCCTTTCATGGAAAGGGAAAGAAATCAACATGGCAGATGTGGGAAATATTTAATGATGTAACCGAGGTGTTTGGGCGATTGAGTAAGAAACCTGTATTGGTCGGTCAGTGAAGCTGATATGGAGTTGATAGAGGCATTTGTTGTGGTTATGTACGACAGAACTACAACAACAATTGACATCAAAGAATCCATGCTTGAACTGTTTGCACGCAAACAAAGACAGTATGACACAATTCCACCCATACCAAGGTGGCCATGTATGGGGACAGGCAGTCACACCTGAACAACATCTACCTAGTCCTGGTGATTTGGGATGGGTTTAGGAGAACGCAGATGGGTTGTTGATTCCTCATTGGACACAATTAGCAGCAATTGCTGCATCTTGCCAGGAGTTACAAAAATGTGGCTGAAGGAAAACTTGTTCTGGAAGATGTAAGTGTTACAAAACTGGCTTGACCTGTACAACATTGTGTTCCTGTAGCTGTTAAAACGGAATACATCGGTTAATATGGTAGATTATTACATTGATCAATCCTCCAGCATGTCTTACATAATTACCGATATATCAAACGGACATTTTTATCGCATATCCTTACCACTATTATTTCACTCGAGTGTATGAACTTTTACGACCATAACAGGAAGTGGTGATTTATTTTTACAATTGCTGTCTGTTTGACATATTTTCATGTCATTTTATTGTATTTCAAATAGTTGTCATGACCTATATCACGTTAAAAATTGTTAGGATATTTTTTCAATCTCCACTATTGAGCAAAATGATGTCAATTTTTAATTCAAGATGGCCGCCGTGAAAAAAATCAAAAACATGTTGGCTACCCCTCTTATATGATAAAGTACACCATAAAGAACATCTGTGCCAAATATTATGCTTGTATCACCATTTGCATGATTTTGTCAAATTTCGGTACTAAGCCGCCCCACAGTACACAAAACACAACAGAAAACTAAAGATTGAACAACACGAAACCCACAAAAAACTTGGTGTGATCTCAGATGCTCCGGAAGGGTAAGCAGATCCTTCTCAATATGTGGCACCCGTCGTGTTGATCATGTTAGTACAAACCCGATGATGAGTCTATTTCAGTAGGTCACATTTGCTGAAAAAGGTACGGGATTGTAGTTACGACAATTGGAACATATCCGTTGTGATCCGTGTTACAGATATGCGATAACGGTCTACCAATTCTTGATGGCGTCCGTACAATTTACGAAGGGATGATTTCAACGTCACCTCTTGTAACTCTTGGTTTACTAGCTTCCTTATGAACAGCAACCTTCTATCAATGAAATCATTATAGGAAATACTTTCCCTTCAATATCGTATCAACTGGGAGATATATACTCCGTATGTAGGTGCTGCTGGAGTGTTGCTACATAGAAATGGAAAGATCACAATTGAAAAGATAAATCATCTCTTTTGTCGTTAAGTTTTGTTTTCAACCGACCCTCATTGTCAATTTCCGATTTGTCGAGCTATATCAAGTTCCAGTGTCACTACCAATTATTTGAAATAACATAATGACGAAAAACACCATTTTGATTATATAAACAAAAACTGGGTTTTGATTAAACTTAGAATTAAAAATTGCCAGCCGAATTCACAGGATACAGTCAGTATATTTAAATTATAATTACTCCATCATTTATATGATGGAAAGATTATTATCGTAAATACAGTATTGCTCTTCATCTTGTCTGATGACTCTAACTGTTTACCAATGAATTAAGTATCGGTCGCTATTTCTTATAATTATAGAGTTGATTATTCTTAATTGTTAACATTCAGTAGTTCATTTAGTTGACATAAATCGTCATTTTACAATATATCTCTTTGTCAGATTTATGTGTATGTTTGTTTGGATTGTTTCATTAATAAGTCAGTTATATTGTATATCTATGATGTATGTTAACACAATTTTGACTGCTGGATCCCAATGCAATTATTGCCACGTAAACCAATTATGTCTGTTGCTCACATAATTTTATCAATATAACGGGACTATAAACAATTGTCATGAAAGTGGGAGGTTTTGCTTGCTATAAAACCAAGTCTAGACCACCATTTTATCGAGGAATGTTTGTACCGATATTGACAGTTGTTTCCATTAGTTCCCTCGGTTGATAAAGTCGAGTAGTTATTTTTGTAAGGTATTATGCACTTTTTTGTAAATTTTCCTTGGAGATCAGTATTTTTTATTATACTTTTTTCCTTTTTTGTTATTTATTGTTTGTTAATTTTATCTCCATACTTCTTTACAAGTTGACGGAAAACATTTTCTCTTTTCTAAAAGCATTATATACGCAAGCCGTCTTACTCACCTCTCTATACTTTGATGCACTCTCTTGTGCTATTTCTGACGCTCTCGCATCAGACACTTTGAATCGTGCAAGTACATTTACAACAGAAAATTCAACTAGTGCAATAAACACGAACATGATTTGAAACAAACTCCACACATCTACAGCTTTTACATATGACACACGTGGGGCATTTCTTCTGGACGCTGATCCTAGAGATGACATGGTGAGGACAGTGACTGCACCTAGCGAAACACGTCCCGGAACAGCTAGAGGGTGCAACCAGAACGAGACCCACGAAAGACCAACGATGAGAATGTCGGGAATAAATATTTCAGTCATGTAGTATCCAACGGATCTCTTTAGTTCAATAACCATTGTAAGACAAGAAAAACCAGTACCTGAGAATATAGGTAATATGAAGATAGACTTGTATCAGTTGTCGGCAGACAATGCCTAATTGTTAGCTTTCACAAAATACAATTTTGATATTTTTTTACTGCTTGAAATGCATTTTTTGTTTATCTAAACAAGTAAGTAAATTCACTAATAATTCAATCATTTAAACAATGGAAAGGACAGTTTTACTCGTTTTGCCATTTAATTGTGAAAATGCAGCATTCCCGTAGCTTGTTGATGTAATTTTATGTAAAGTATCTTTATGCAGGCTTTATAAAAACATAAGTAATTTGGTCGTGGCTTGATGATATAAATTGACTGTGACGTCATATAGATAGATGTCTGATGGAGATCAAACTTCGACACAGTGGTAATGTCGTCTTTGCTAAGTTATGCCATAGATGTATGTAGATTTATACATGTATGGTTATGTTGACTTTGAAAGTTAAGCAAAGCAACGGCACTGCTGTTTCGGAGTTTGAATGAAGATGTGTAAGAGTTTAAAAAAAAAGGCCATTATCAGAATATTTTGGCTAAAATCAGAATAAAACACATCGAGTAATTCCCTAGATAATCAAGTATAAATACTCTTCCTGTGATTATACGACTAATGTATCAGTTTAACTATAGATGTATAAACCCATACATCTATGGTTTAACAATATGTGAGTCAAATGATCAATATGTTGAATAATGTAAGCGTTCACTGTTGTGCCTAACATATTATTATAGTATAGGTTGTACATCGGCTGAAATATTGAAGAATTATTTCATGGGAGAATTTTTAAACTGCATTTATCTTTTGGTCTTGTATCATACAGTCTCTTTTATAACAACATATTATCATACATATGAATTGAGAAACGCTTGGTCAATAAACACTGATTGAAATTGTATGTTATAAATTATAGGCAACGTTTCGTAATATTTCACGATTGATTTTTACCTCCATTAAACAAACTTCTGTGGCATAAACTGACATCTGTTGGTGGATTTCCGTTTATATCATACAGTGGTAGATTTTCATTCTTTACATGTACTGGCGTGCCATCAATCCAAGTATACAAAAGTTTGCTTGCCGTCAGCCCGTCTGTAAGACAGTTATTCAGAGTTAAAACATTTTGAACCATATGAAATGATTTCAATATGTAAATTTCGCATCTTCAAAAGTCGCAAGAATTATCTTGAAAACAAAATAAGCATGTACAGTGTAACGACATGAGCGCATGACAATGACCCGTATAGTTAATAATAATATTATATTTGGTTCTCGTTCCTCTGTCACGGAAGGGGAGGTGTTTTGCAATATGACGGTGTGATACCAGATTTAGTGCGAATGTAATTTGTTGTTGACTTCATTTATCTAGTACATTTGCCAATTAAAAAATGTAGGATCAAATACAGAAATGGAACAAAAAGTACGAATGGTCATGCGACATTATATAAAAAAAACATATTGCTTAGAAGGTGATAGAGAAGAGTTTAACCCCAAGAAAGCATTTTAAACCGAGCTCCGTCACTCTTGGTCTTTTTCCGACCGGCAGTAAAACCCCTGCCAAAGTGGTGCGTCCGTTTGGTTGTGCGAAAGGTAAAAATACGCAGACACGTCCTATCAGAATATATTGGAACGTTAAATCCGATCCCTCTTGTAGAAAGAGTGCCACGCTCTCTTCATGTTAAGAACCTTTGCAACAACTCTTTTATGGTTCTGTAAATGACCTGTTGCAAGACAAAATTTCTGTCCCAATCCTATATATATATATATATATATATATATATATATGTACCCTCAATCTCCAGGGTCTGTCAAAATATCCCGACCTACATCCCGGACGGTCCTTATTACAGCACCTACTTATTGTATTGATTGTAAATTTATTCTCGTCTTAAACATGCGTGACATATTTGCCACTGGACGTTAAGCAACCAAAAATCGATCAATCAACCGAGGCGAGGGGTAACAATCTGCCTTATCAACCTCTTGACTAAATGTTATTCACTTTATCATTCTGAATTTTCTGTTGTTATTGTCATTTAAATTTGAAATTGAAAGTAATAGGCTATGAACATTTTTATGCTGACAGTCTGTGCATGTGGCCGATACCTTGAACTCGAGCATTTAATTTGTCTTTATATTTAGTTGCATTATTCTTATGCTTCAAGGTGTCAGCAAAAAAAATCATCCTTATTTAATAAAGTTCACAAATGATAAAGCATCTCCGTGTAGGGTAATACTATAAAATAAACCATTTACCAAAGTAGACTGTCTCCTCAAATAAAGCGATCAAAATTTCGAAACTTATTGTGAACTACAATAACATCTAATAAAATATGTGTAATAAGGAATGAGTCGACCCAAGATCCCAAAAGTCAAAACACCACATCCTTATATCATGTTCAAAATGGTCATCATCAAAACACCAGTCATCGTAGAATTTGAAAAAAAAGTAATAATCAAAAATACCGAAACGGAAAGTCCCTTATTTAAAAATGGCAAAATCAAAAGCTGACACATCAAACGAATGGAAAACAACTGTCATATTTCTGATTTTATACAGGCATTTCCTTATGTAGAAAATGTTTGATTAAACCTGGTTTTATAGCTAGCTTAACCTCTAACTTGTATGACAGTCGCGTATAATTCCATTATTTTGATAACAAATTGTGTGAGCAAAACAAACAGACATAATAGGTACCTATACAAAATGTCAAAAAATGGGGTACAGTTGTCAACATTGTGTTAAAATCTTGATCACTATAAAAACAAACAACTATTTCAACAAAGAAAAACAAACTGGCATACAGACACTCTATAGACAAAGCACATAAGCAAAAATGAAAGACAAGAATACAAAAAAAAAATACCATAGCACAATAATACAATGAAGTTTACACTAATGAACTAGTTTTATACTGAAACGAAGATTTCTTTCAAAGTTGAAGATATAAATGCGAGGTGACAAGAAATGCCGTCAATGGCATTTTATATCAACTGGCTATGAGAGAATTATAATCAATATCCAATTTCTGATTGAATGTTGTCGAATACTAATACAGAAATATAGTCACCTCCTGTCGTGACTTTAGTAACAGTCACGTACTATTAAGGTTTTTTAAATATTTTCAAGTATTTTCTAATCGATAAAGTTAATATCAGAAAGTATTGCAACACTGCATTATACTTTTCCACTTATCTAGACAAAAAGTACTACTGAGTACTAAACTAGCTAGATTGACCCCGCCGTATATTTATGTATTTGCCTAAGGTCAGTAATCTGACCAGTAGTTGTCTGTGTTAATGTCTCCTCTTTTCTTTCTTTGTAGGAATGTTAATGGTAATGACAGATCTTTCGTGGTTTCTGTTGTATTTATATGGAAATTTCTATACTCAGGGCGATCCTTTGGTAAAGACAGGTATCTGTGTTTTAAGACATAATGTTAACCATTAATTGTTCTTATGTTCGATTTTATTGTGTTGTCTTACTGTTTAATAGACATACGCCTTACATCTCTGTCAACTCAGAAAAGAAAAGAACAAATGTATTGAGATTTGATACCTTACGAAACTCTATTGTTTCTGCAAAAGGAAAATAAATAACAAATTCGACCATTTCATTAGACCGATAATACAAATGCTAATGACTTTGTTCTCCAATCGATATATTTACAACCAGACTTACAGCTTTCTAAATGAATTGGGCACCTTTGATGGTCAAGCGGATATAAGTGGAAATCCATTGAACACGATAGCTGTACATGCAACCTGCAAAATACATAATTTTATTAATAAAAATCTTCTAATTGTTCTATACCAGGAATAGATTATTTTAGCTGTATTTGGAAAAACCTTTCAGAATTATGTGTGTTCAATGTTGGACGTTATTAACTTGATATAAGCTTTTTTTAGTCGAGCGTCATTGATGAGTCTTTTGTAGACGAAGCGCGTGTCCGGCGTACAGAATTATAAATTACAAGCCTGATATTTTTGGTGAGTTTGTTTACCGATGTTCAAATCTCATAAATCGATTATGAAGATACAAATCAAGGGAACACAGAAAAACTGAGGGAATCGCATGCACTCTAAAAGGAGCTACACTGGGTGCTTGAAAAGTGTAAACATCACCCGCAATGTGAATCCACACTCAGTCACCATGTAACAATAGAAAATAGGACTAAGTCATACTAAGTCATAATTACATAACTTTATCCTGAATCACATAAAACCCCTTGTCAGCTGTTTACCGTATGCACTGTTTAAAATCTAATAAACGATAGATTTGCGGTTACTCTGTTTAGTGTGAATATTACGTTCTAAATAATTAAGTGTCGAAGCTGATCCTTTTTTGAATTTAGAAATTAAGTTTACAGTACCTAATTTCGATCATTTTCAAACTTAATCAAAATATAGATAACACAAATCTTTAAAAGGGTTTTATTTTCATCCGTAAAGAAATGTATCACTCGAGCCCATTTCAGAATATTATCTATAATAGCGTTACGAAAATATTGTTATTTTATAAAAAAAAAATTAACTCAGATATAACAAAGAGTTCTTACCATTCAGAAAGAATTATTTGACGAAAACATATCCATAACTCGCTCTCTCCGAATTAGCGGAAGCGTTTCATAATAAAACATGTTCGCACTGTTAATGCTTAACTACATGAAAAAGGTGGCATTTAATTATTGTAATCACATCTAGTGTAACAAAAGGGAAACAAAATACCAAGGAGGTAATCAAAAACATAAGTTGAAGAAAAACAGAAAACACCATGGCCAAATGCAAAAAGGCTAAAGACGACTCAAGCTCTACAAACATTACACAGACAACTTGATACAGCAGCACGGACCCTATCAAAACATAAAGGTGCCCTGAAGAGTTATTAGCAGGTCAGACCTGCTCTACGACTGGTACTCCTGAAGTTGCTCTTTTGCTGATCAGATTCATTTTCTGATGTCGCAATCGATGAAAACAAGACGAGATTGTGACGACGATAAGTGAAACATGTATTAGTGGTCATCAAGGAAACAACGATAGGAAGCGCTAGGCCTGGAATATTGCATCAACTGCGAGACATATAAAAATGAAAAATTACGAGTTGAGGCAATATAAACCTTTTTTTTTCGTTACAAAAATGTAGTGCTTATTGTACTAATAAAAATATAATATATAACGTCATCGTGTCTATTATCAAGCTTCAACTTCGAAAATTATTATATTTAAAAGGACTATAAACAAAAAATTACTATTATGTGACTAGAAAGAAAGCTTAATTACATTTTTTTTAATAAATATGGAGCTGATATCCCTTCATAAATGCTCTCAACGCATGAAAAGAAAGAGCGAGGTCACTTTACTCATGCCTTGCTACACGGATCGACGTCATTTCAGCATCGCAAGCCAACTGAGATATATTACATTGTCATTCATATTTTGATTTAGTACATTATTTTTTCTATTTAGGTTCAAAATTTGCTTTCTTACAAGCAAGAGTGCTTATTTAATAAAATACAATATAATTCTTTTACAACACATATATCATACCTTAAACTGTAAAGAACCGTTCCATTATGATAAATATGCATCAATGTATTCGGTTTAGTGATGGTATGTAGATCTCCTTTTTTAGATTCTGGGAAGAATGTATCCGGGGTCCAAATACTATTAATTTCCTCTTGAGTCAATTCTAGAGTTATGTCTGGATGGCTAAAGTTCAGGCGATGGTCAACCCATTTCTGCCGTAAATAGCATGTTATGGAAAAATCCTGTAATAGAAAATCCTCATTATAAACGTAGCTCAAATCTCAGAACCCATACACTTGTTCTACATTATATAGACACTTTTTACTTTGATGTGATATCTACTTAATCTAAAAATGTACAGGATGAATAATGATTATTATTGTCTTGTGTTAGAAAGGTAAACAGAAGTTAAGAACACTTTAATCGTTTTGTAAATACTCTTTTAAGTCAATTTCGGGGACTCGGTGGCCGAGTGGTCTAAGTAGTTATTATCTACAGTTATCACTAGCCTGTCAAGACTAAGGCTATGAGTTCGAATCCCGTTCGAGACAAGGTTCGTTCAACGCTTGACTTGACTAGGATTGCTAGTTTTACTGGCAGATAGGTGGTGCCCTCCGAGTACTCAGGCTTACATTAATTAAAATTGCCCGTAAAAATTTAGCCGCGAGTGCTGAAAGTGGCGTTAAACACCATCACTCATCAAATCGGTTTCTTTCTGTCGAAAAATCTATTTAAAAAAATGTTCAATCCTTTTTTCTATTATGCTTTTCTCATAATTCTTTTACTTCTTTATTTTAGAAAACAAAACATTTTGCGTGTTGATTTACCATTTTTATCTTGTTTTTGTATTGGTGATGACCATTTGTTGAAAGTAAACATACTTATGATCGCGTCTAACTTGAGAACAGTGTTTAGTACTTTATATGGAAGGACTAAGTAAACGAAAGCCGGAAAAATGTTGGTTATTCATGGATATGTCATACATTGTAAATAAGGTCGTTGATTCTCTCATTTGAATTGTTCCACATGTTGTTATGTCTGAACCTATTATTAATGACTGTACGGTATTGGTTTTGCTCGCAAAACAGGACTAAGTATTCGCAATTGTACATACTATGTTTGTGGTGAAATCTTTTAACTCTGAATGAAAGGAAATACGAAGAGACAGAAACTCAGTCTTGTTGATTGGTTGGTTTGTCCAAGCTTTAGATGATTTGCGAAAGAGGTATAAACTGCATTTATTTTCCTTTCATTAATACAATTCCTGTTTGTGTTAATGACTTTTGGTATGTGATATTCAGGGGAATACCTATACAAATACTGTGACGACTTACAAATCGCGTACAGACATCTAAGAGAGGGACGAAAGATACCAGAGGGACAGTCAAACTCATAAATCGAAAACAAACTGACAACGCCATGGCCAAAAATAAAAAGACAAACAGACAAATAATAGTACATGTACAGATGACACAACATAGAAAACTAAAGGCTAAGCAACACGAACCCAACCAAAAACTGGGGGTGATCTCAGGTGCACCGGAAGAGTAAGGTTGTGACTTATGTTACGTTTTAAATGGTATAACTTAATTGTTCTAAAATACAATTTAAAAACGAATTTAGAATGTCGGGAACAAATATTACATATGTAAGAAGTTAATACGATTGAATATAGAAAAAGAATACCATTTCGTTAACGTTGACATCATATATTTCTGTGATAAATAACTGCACGCTAACATTTGTTGGCTGCTCTTCGTATATATCTAAAACATATATATATGGTACATATATATGGTATCATTCAATATAACTATGAAAATAAAACTTTTGTTTAGGGAACCATGTTTTCTATAAAAAAATGATATGACAGTTCATTCTTTATTTGATATCATTATATTGACAAGATTGACGATATTACCTTTGTAATATCAACAATAGATAATGGGATGTGATAAAATCCCTTTTGATTTAAAAATGATTTGAAGTCTATGGAATCCGGTTAGGGTCAGGGTTTATAATTGTTAAAGAGTTAGTTTACTCGAGTAAACTAAGTCGTGAAAACGAGTTTGTAAAGTCGAAATAACGAGATACTTAGTTGTTAAAACGAGTTAGCTTTGTCGTTATAACGAGTAACTAAGCCGTGATAACGACTCCATATTAAACTACACCCTGACACTAACCGGCTTCCACAGAATAAGTTCTGCATCGGGATATGCCCTCATCTGTTATTTAATGACGCGTATGTGTTAAAACGGGCGTTTACCATTTGCGCCAATTTTGAAAATATCATATTTGTTTTTCATTTGCGCCAAAACAAAGTTTTCATATGCGCCAATTATTAATTTTCCGTTTGCGCCAATTTTATTTCAACAAGTAAGATCTGATACATTTAAGATGACTACCGTCACTTAATTAACTCAACGTAGCAGGTACATTTGTTAGTGATGTTCAATGAGACATGTTCGTGTTTTATGTACATGTATATATATACATGTTGAGCTCATTGATTTCAACACTTCTGTATGATAAGATGGATCTTTTGCACACAGAACTTATCCGGAGAAATAAGTCGATAATCTTTGATAGACAATCTTAAAGGCAATCAAACATTCTCAAAAATGGAAATATTTGCTATAGAAGTATACATCAGTCATGTAAAGCTAGGATGACGATTGACAGTAATTGAATGCCAATTTTGAAAACTATGCATGAGTATAACCACGTTGCAGATGACCACAAGACTGAGTTTTGGAAACTTTTACAATAAATTTATCCTGCTCGAAATCCCTCGTCCACCTGCCCATGGTGAGCAGATGGCAGACGGAAGGAGTATTTTTGTTATTATATAATTAAATTCTGCACAAATTATTTGTCACATGACTTGTGTTTACCTGTAAATTGGCGCAAATGAAAAAAAAATGTTGGCGCATATGAAGAAAAAAAATTGGCGCAAATGAAGTGCAGATTGGCGCAAATGCAAAACGCCGGTTAAGGGTGAACATATTGTGACGTCATTGATTGCGATGAAATAATTTGCCTAAGGGGGACCCAACACTTTGATTATAACAGATTCGGCTCGTTTAATTTTCATAACACTTTGACAAAATATTTAGTCTGATCTACTGACAACAATATACAAATTTCAAAAGAAAATTGAACCACACAATTTACAGGAATAATTTCATTGGATATATAGCAGTTTGAAAAATACTAATTTTCTTCATTGAGAGCTTGATTTCTCTTTAATAATAGTACGTGACTAAAACGTTCAGCTTATTTTTTAAGAGTTAACTCCCTTGGGTGTTTTGTACCCCTTAAGGCAGCAAACTATTAGGAAAATGTATAATTCACATACTGTTAGCCAATGAAAAGTCCGTTCTGTTATTACTGTTAACGTTTATAGAGTATCAGTTCCAAAGGAAGTAGCTGAACTCAGACTTTACTGAAATGTTTTTTCCAACATTATTTTCGCCATGGGCGATAGTCTGTTTTATATTCCAAAGTAAATTATTCGTTTGCACTTACCGCCAAAATCTATTCCAGGTGGGATCCTTTTGTCATAAGTTCTGTTTTCAATGATATCAAGCAGAATTTGTCGTCTAACATTTTTGAAAATAAATTTTAAAAACTAAATATCGAAAGTAAAAGGAGAGAACATGCTGTAATAATATGATATCGTTTGACATTGAAAATAAAGGAGATTTATATTTAACAGTTAAATAAAATATATGTAATAAAATACAAGAGTGCACACGCTTTAATATCTAGCCTGCTATGCTGATCATGATTGAATTGATGCTAAATGTCTTAGAGGAAAAGGTTATACTACAAGTAATTACATAAAGCTATCATTATCCATGTGCATGAGGTTAAAGTCAGAGTTCCAAGTGGTGAAGTTGAAATCATTCCTTCGTAAGTTTTACGGACGCAATCACGAGTTGGTTGACCGTTATGGAATATCCGTTTCACGGATATGTTCCTAAGGTCGTAACTACAATCCCATTCTCTTTTCTCGAATGTGACCCAACGAGTTGGACTTATTACCAGGTTTGTACTAACATGAGTAATACGACGGGTGCCACATGTGGAGCAGGATCTGCTTACCCTTCCGGAGCACCTGATATCACCCGCAGTTTTTGGTGGGGTTCGTGTTGCTCAGTCTTTAGATTTCTATGTTATGTTTTGTGTACTATTGTTTATCTGTCGGTCTTTTTCTCTTTTAGCCATGGCATTGTCAGTTTATTTTCGACTTATGAGTTTGAATATCCCTCTGGTATCTTTTGCCTCTCTTTTTAACCCTGTCAAACAGACAGGCCTTACTATCTTTCCATACACCAAATATAGTTGACTTTTGTTTATAGTTTACGGACTAAACTATGAAAATATAATGCTGACATTTGAACCATGAAAACGAGGTCAAAGTCAGACGAACATGCCAGACAACAAACACAGTTGACCTATTGCTTTTAGTATCTGGGAAACAGACATTACCACGAAATGTTATCATTCATTTGATCAAAGAACCACGAAATGTAGTGAAAGTAAGACGAACCCTGTCAAGCAGACATTTAGGCCTTACAATCATTATATACTTACAATGTAGTTGACCTATTGCTTATAGTATCTGATGATAAACTGACAAAACTACAAAAATGTAACATTGAACATGAGTTCAAGGTCATATGAACCCTGCCAGACGGACTTGTACACCTTACAATCATTGCATACACCAAATATAGTTTACATATTGCTAATAATATCTTAAAAACGGACAAAACACAAACATATTGCATTAACCAATGAACCATGAATATGAGGTCAAGGTCTAATGAAACCTACCAAACAAACATTTACATCGTATAATCAGTCCATACAACAGATATCGTCGACCTACTGCTTATACTATCTGAGATACGGACTTGAACACGTATTAATGAAAGGAGGCTGAGGTCAGGTGAACCCTGTCGGACGGACACGTAGACCTTACAAGGCTCCCATGTACCAAATATAATTATCCAATTACTCATAATAAATGAGACATTCAAATGACGAAAAACAAACTATGCATTTTTGTAAGCAGTCGCTGAACCATAAATATGAGGTTTAGGACAATGGACATATGACAGACAAAAACTTCGTAACATAACACAACTGTTTACATTTTAGGTATGAAGCACCAATGTCTTTTAGCCACTGAAATATAAAGCTTTATACAAATAGTTTACGCCGCCGCCAGATGTAATACCTATGTCTCGCGTTCTGTGACTATAGTCGCAGGTGGGACAAAAATGAATAAGTTTAAGGTGATAAGGGGTTTATGTCAATGACACAAAAACTCAGCAACACAAACAAAATTAAAAAAGTTGTTTGCATACATATTTACATGTACAGTAATATGTGCTCTGAGATTTAAAATATTTGGTTAAATTAATGTTTTTTACTTTTCTAGTTTGCTCAATTCTTTCATTTTGTTTACGATATTTAAACGTTAGCTGATAGACAACAAAAACATAGGTACATGTACAAGAAAAACAATAACTAAAACATTATATAAAAGAATACTTGCAGGTACTTAGTACTAAAATCACAAAGTTTTAGTCCTCTGTATTAACGATTTTCCGCCAATTTTAGTATTGTTTATGCGTATTTTGTAACTTGATCTTTTAGATGACAATCTATTCAATCTTTCACGTAAATTTTCTATTGTTTCCCTAGTAAAGTATGTTTTTTTGTGAATGAAATGCTGGTGGTATTTGCACAAAAGTCACTCAAAATCCAAATCCATCTTTTAAGTGTGGTTACGAGTCATATAAAAGTATATTTTTTATGTTACGATGTTAATTCTTTTTAAGAATTCCTATATATATATATAATGTTGTATATTTGTTTTTTTTTTTATATATTCAAAATTTGAAACTTACTGAAGGGATATGGCTTCAGTACAAGCATTGTACAATGTGAACACTAAAAGGGATGAACACACAATTTTTTCAAAGCCTATTACATTCATATTCTTCATAGGATACTAATACTTCCTGTACTAAAAAAACCAAAACATTTTAATATATTTCCTTTCATATGTACAATGTATATGGCATGTTCATACTTTTAAATAAAAATCATAATTAAAATCATATTGATTGATTGATTCCATATACTATGTGTCCGGTACTGAGAAAAAACACAATTGAACGAACGAAATATATATGCTAAATACGTAAATAAATTTGATTGATTAATTGATTGTTGTTTGCTTAAAGTCCAATGGCAAAAAGTTCGTCCATATTCAGCAAGAAAACAAATTTACAATAAATTCAATAGGTAGGTTCTGTAAAGTGGGTGACCGGGATGAAGGACGGGAATTTCGACTGTCACTGGTAGATCTAGACGAGGGTATGTTCGAGAGGTAGACATTTTGCCTTGCAACAGGTCACATAAAAGAGTAATTTTACATTGAATTTAAACGTCCTCATTCCGACCGGGCGTGGCTGCGTACTTTTACATCCCATAGAGTCAAACGGACGCCATTTTCTACACGGATTTTAATGTCAAGGGATGGCCATATTTATATCCCCTTTTCAACCCTAAGGAATTAAATTAATGAGAGATTATTCAAATGATTAATTCCATTTGTAGTAGTCAAAATCCCGTCCTCCATCTTATTTACGACTACGTATCTCCCAATTCAACTTAACGTCGGATTCCTACTTGTATTGAGCTACACGACGAATGCAACTAGTCGAGCAAGACTTGCTTCCCCTTCCAGAGCACCTGATTGCATTCTCATTTTTTGGCGGGGTTCGTGTTGCATACTTCTCAATATTCTTTGTAGTGTAGTGTTGATATTTGTTTGTCCTTCCCTGTCTTTTCTTTAGGCGGTTGTGACGTCTTCCCTCTTGGGGCTATGGCTTTAGAATCTTCTTACAAATGTATATCCACTTCCTTGTTCTGAATGTTTACTAGCACGAATAAACGGCCTTAAAATCTTGCTTTTCGCCTGTGTTAGAGGATACGATGTCCAGTCAAGGCCGGATTATGGACATTGAGTGCAAGATGCATTTTAGGTAGATTTTAAATTGAAATGACTGTTATAATAGGAGTAGTGAAATGCATGTACAAAATCGGGCAAAAGAAGATTGTATCCAGCAGGATCATTTGATGAGACTTTCCCCAAAAGTAACAAATGTATTATTACATAAAAGTGATAACAGGAATTACCAAATATTTTGAACGTTACAACAGACCACACAAACCATTAACACCAGACTCATCAGAAAAGGAAACACGCGTACAAACAATAGTCATGGTTAGGCTGAATTGGTGCTGACACATAAAAATTGTCATATACTGGTAATCATCCAAAATAAACCTCTTAACATGCTGATACATCTTCAAACAGATGAAAACACCTCAATTCAAAAGTTCATCTATATTTTTTTAAACAAACACTTATTTACTCATAATCGATTTATAAACTGAAACAATACTCAACAAATAGCAGAGAAGATTAATCGAAAACTGAAAAGGTAGTGACAGATTTTTCTGTTTATTTTTCCTTCATAGGGTCAAATAAACAGTTGTCTAAAGTTTCAGAAATTTGAACATCAAAGAGTTTACATAACATACTTAAAACCTTTTTTGGTTGCATGGCGGAAAAGACGCTCATACCAATGATGAAATCTCCAGTTTGTTCCAACAAGGGTTAAAGTCAGGACATCATGCTGTTTAAGTCGGTGTGCTACCACTGAAACACCGAAGCGTTTATTTATGATTTGGATATCAATGAAAGGAAATATGGGTAAACTTCAATGAGACATCAGTCAAAATCTATGTAAGATAGATGACTTTTATCTCAAAAGAAAAAAAAAAAACTTATTCATATGGATACAGTTTCGAATGCTTCAAATATAAGTTTATTTAAAGTCTGTATTAACTGTACACCTACCCCAAAATTAGTTATCCCTTCACATATGCTCGTACGTGCCTGAAATATAGAGGAAAATAAATGTGGATTATGTACTTCCTTGTCAACAAAGGTAAGGTTTTAAATAACCATAGACAACTGTAGACAACTGTTTATTTTAAACCTATCATGCATTTAATATTTGTAACTTTCTTAATCAATTAATTGCAAATTAAGCATAAAAAATTGAAAACAACACGTTAAATAATTTCATGCGTCCGAAGCGCTTTTATGGATTTACCTTCATCAGGAACGCTCAAAGCCAAACATTTGAAATCCGAGGGATGTATAAGTACCGAAACAGTTGAAGAGCATAATATAGTAACATATTTTACCCTATATGATTATATGACAATGATCTTGTTCCTGTTAACAATTTTATTATGTTGGTTTGCTTTATTGTCACTTTCAATTTTTATTTGACAAAATGAACGTACAATATCACCATGAAACTAAATTATACATAATAAAGAACGTTCTTATTCTAAAAAAGTTAATATGGTGTACTAAATACAGATGATTGTCATCTTAACTTCTATTATGACACCACCGAATGTGACTTATCACCGAATTTGTACAGCCCTTGGATGGTGTAAACTTCCCAAAAAAACGTGTATGGTGTAATGGTGTATGGCATATGGTGCAATGATAGAGGGTGTATCTTGCTATGGTGTATGGTGTAATGGTGAAACGTGCGAGCGGGAATGGTGTGAATGAATGGTGTACGACATTTAAAACTATGCAAAATATTGATAAGAACTGATTTTTAATTTTATGCATTAATTTACAATATTGTGATCAAAATTCGTTTTTTAAAATAAATAAATGATTTTGTAGTCGCACGCTTTCTTTGAAATTAAATTGCATTATGGTGTAATGTGTAAGGTGTATGGTACAAAGGTGTAACGTGTATGGTGTAATGGCATAGGATGTAAGGTGTAATGGTGTATGGTGAATGGTGTAATGGTATATGGTGTTAGTGGGAAGTTTACACCATTCGGGGACTGTACGTGTCATATGCAACACGATATTGAATTAAGGATGTGTAATAAGGTTTTTACAGGTACAGACAAATTTCTAACTAAATCTTTGCATTTATAAAACATTTTCATAAAGATTTTTAAATGTTCAGATAACTTCTGGTAAAGAAATCTCCGACCTAGTAGATTACCGATCATACATTTATTACGTTCATTGAAATCTAAAACGTCAATATAGCGAAGAAATAAGGAATTAAAAATACACACCGCAAAAATGACAAAAAGAACACCCCCGTCCAAAAAGTGAGTTTCCCGTATAAACTTGATAAAACTGGTATATCTGAATCTAGAAATAGCTAATTATTGTTATTTTATTTATTACATTTAAGGTCAGTTTCCTTGGATAAATTTCTGCAGTAAAATTTTATAATTCTTGAGTATTCAAAGTAAAACTATCATCAAGTTAACAGAAAGTGTTATTTAATTTTTCAATTAAATTGAACTTAGGGAAATCTTTTACAGGTTTCGCCGTAAACTTCTTCTCAAAAAATTGAACAAACAATTTTGCTATTACCAGAGCACAAAAAAGGCCTATAAGCACACCTTCTGTTGCTGTTGTTTGTTGCTGACTGTTATATTTGTTTTTCATTTATAGTTTTGTCTTAAATCAGGTCGTTGGTGTTGCATTTGAATTGCTTCCCATTTTATAGCCGACTGTACGGTATAGATTTTTTTGTCTCATTTTCGAAGGGCGTACAATGATCTATAGTTTCATTTGGATATGTAAAGTTCATAATTGTAAAATTGAAATCGTCCCTTTTGTCGTAAAGGTTTGTTCTCAACCGTTAGTGTCAATTTCTAAATGTAAGTCAGAATAAAAGCAGACTTTATTGCATCTGTGGTATTCTTTATGTCAAGTTCGATAGGATAGATGAGTTTGATATAAGTAATAAAAATAAAAGAGGCAAAAGATACCATGGGGACATTCAAAACTCAAGAGACACTAAATGACATGGCAAAAAAGACGACAGTCAGACAAACAACTTCAGAAAACAGTACACAGAAAACTAAAGATTGAGCAACACACACCTCATAAAAAGATGGTATATTTCATGTGTATCGGTAGGATTGCCATATTCTGCTCCATTTGTGGCGCCCGTCGTGTTGTTCATGGTAAGAACACATTCGTTGATGTCACAATCGAGGAAAAGATGACGGAATTGTGTTTACGACAATTAAAACATATCCGGGGTAATATGTAACATAAGGATTCCATAATGGTCATCCTGGTCGTTATGGCCTTGTAAAACTTTCTAAGGAATGACTTAAACTTTACTAATTGAACCATTCGTTCAATAGCTTCCTTGTTAGCAGAATCCATCTATCAAGGAAATCACAAAACTTGAAACTTTTAATGATAACACATAAACATTCTGCATATAGGGGAACGGGAGTTTTAAGGATAATGCTACTTTATTTTTCTTTTATAAAAAAAAGATGAAAACTCGATTTAGTTATGTTGTCTCTGAACTTAAAGTGTGGCGATGTTTTGCCACATTGTATGCCTATATTTAACAGTAAACTGGTGGCTGTTGTAATGGAATTATAATTCATACAATATTTTTGGTGTAACGATATTGCTACATTTTTCGACTTCGTATCAGCATTTTATAGCATTTAAGGGGTCAGTTAACCATCCTAGTAATTAATTAAGTCTCCCAAACGAAGTTTGGGAAGACTTATTGTTTTTGCTCAGTTCTTATTATTATTATTATTCTTCTTCTTCTTCTTCTTCTTCTTCTTCTTCTTCTTCTTCTTCTTCTTCTTCCGCCGCTTTTAAATTTGAACTTGTCCGCACCCGTTCTCCAAAACCGCTTGTCAGATTAACTTAGGGTTTCACAATATGTTAGACTAACATGTCTAGTGGTGCAATCAGGGTTTTGTTTGTGCAATGGGGTTTATAAAGGGGTACTTTGAGGGGCAAAAAGAAAAGAGGGTTTTACTATAGAACCCTATGGGATTTTATTTTTTGAAATTTTCAAATGATTATAAATTGAAAACCGTTTGTGATAGACACAATCTTTTTAATTGAAAATG